ATAACCCCAGTTCTCCGTCAGCTCCACTGGCTCCCAATTGAAGTCCGGGCCCAATTCAAGGTGTTGGTTATGACCTATAAAGCCCTAAATGGCTTGGGACCTGGATATCTAAAGGAACGCTTGCGCCCATATATGCCCTCCCGCCCCTTGAGATCAGCAACAGATGCCCTTCTCCGGGAACCCTCTGTGAATGATATTAGGAGGGTGAGTACCCGGAGGAGGGTTTTCTCTGCGGTGGCGCCCCATCTATGGAATGCGCTCCCCAGAGAGGTCTGCCTGGCGCCGTCATTTGTTTTTTGGTGCCAGGCTAAGACCTTTTTATTTAAAACTTATTTTAATTGTTAAATTATTGAATTAATTAGGATTTTAAAATTTTTAGCCGAGGATGCACTGGGGGTTTTTAACATTTTTTTATTGTTATATTACTTATGTATTTATGTATTCTTTGTGAGCCGCCCTGAGGCTTTGTTGCGATGGGAGCGGCATAGAAATGTTTTAAATAAATAAATAAATATTAAGCTTAGAAAAAAGGCAAATGAAGGATAGACATGATAGAGAGATTTAAAGCAATCATGGTGTGAAGAAAGTAGAAAGGGAGATATTTTTCTCCCTCTCATAACACTTGAACTTGGGATCTCATGAAGCTGCTTGGTGGGAGATTTAAGGCAGATAAAAAGAAGTACTTCACACAATGTAGTTAAAGTGTGGATTTTGCTCTCATAGGAAGTGGTGACGGCTGCTAATCTGCTAAACCATCTTTAAAAAGGGATTGGGCAGATTCATCAGGGAGGAGGCTCTCAGTGGCTACCAGCCTTGCTGGCATGTGCTTCCTCCTTTACTAGAGCTGCCGTGTCTCCATATACCATTTGCTGAGGAGGTTGGGCAGAGGGAAGTCCTATGCCCATCCTGCTTGAGGGATCCTGTGGTCAGCTGGCTTGCCACCATGTGGTAAAATTTTTGGTATAGAATTTTATGAAATCTAAGTAATCTAGGCCTTCCTACTGGAGCCAACCACTTGAGAGGCTGAGTGAGTTGCAACTAGGGGAAGGCCTATTCTGTGGTGCCCCCCATCTTCGGAACAGCCTCCCTGCTATGGCCCACCTGGCACCATATCTGCCATCTTGGAGCCTGGCAAAACAGCCCTCTTTATGGAGGCCTTTAAAGGGCTCTCTGGTTATCCAGGGGTCTGATAGGTTTATCCAGGTGCTGCCTTCCCGCCCAGGTCTTTTTAAAGTTGTATTTAATGTCTTTTAATGCCATTTTAATTAAAGTTAAAAAATTTTAATGCTGTTTCATGTATTTTTGTAGTATCCTGTTGTCACAGAGAGCTTCAGCTATGAGTGGTATAGAAACGTAATTAATAATATGTACAGAATGCTGGACTAGATGGACTACTGGTCTGATCCAGTACTTTTCTTTCTTATGAATTGCAGCTCCTCACTTTAAGAGCAGTAATCAGTTGGCAGCAATCAGCTTGGGATGAACTTCTGGGTGTTGGGGGCAACAGCAAACAGTCTCACTGTCAACACTGTGACCAGCTTGGGCAGTTGACACTCACTGGAATTGATGCTGGTAGCTGTAGCATCCTTCTTATGGTGAAACATGTTTCTTGTCAGGAGACAGCTGGAGATGTTTGTGCTTACTGATGCATTTTTCTAAATTATCCTTTAAAATATATATTAGCCTCTTCTATAATCAAACTAAATTTATTTAGCATCAAGGCAGGAACAGCAAACTCTCATTCCTGTAGTTATGATGGTACCACATAATAAATTTTAAGGTGTGAAACTGGAGATGTGTGGATTATTTCAGGGGTTTTTTGTTCTTTCATCAGGCTAGAGGAACAATTTTAAAATGTTTATTTGGTCTAACATCTTTAGGAATGCACAAGCAGTGTTAAAAATATGGAATAGAAGGAATTTGGGGGAGGCATGAATATTACTTAAGTGGCAATTAATATATAAATCTATCCATAAGTGATTCATAAAATAAATAATTAAGGACACAATCATATCTTGAAGAAAATGCAGTGATAATAGAAGCCAGCATGGAATTATTAAAAATAAATTCTGACAGACTGATTTAATCTCATTTTTTGACTGGGTAACCTCCCAAATGGACAAAGGGAACACTGGACATACTCTACCTAGACTTTAGCAAAGCTTTTGACATAGTGCCACACGACATTCTGATAAGCAAATTAGCAAAAACTGGACTAGATGGAAAAACTATTAGATGGATCCAAAATTGGCTGCTGAGTCAGACACAAAGAGTGCTCATCAATGGCACCTTCTCAAATTGTATGGAGGTAACTAGTAGGGTGCCACAGGGCTAAGTCCTGGGACCAGTGCTCTTCAACATCTTTATTAATGATTTAGACAAGGAAGTACAAGGAAAAATAATCAAATTTGCAGATACAAATCTGGGTGGAATAGCAAACACCCTAGAAGACAGAATGAAGATCCAGGACAATCTTGCTAAACTTGAATGCTGGGCTGAAAGCAACAGAATGAGATTCAATAAGGACAAGTGCCAAGTCCTCCACCTAGGAAAAAGAAACCAAATGCATCGATACAAGATGGGGAATATGTGGCTCAACAGAACTGAAAAAGATCTGAGTAACTGTGGACAATAGGCTAAACATGAGCCAACAATGTGATGAAGCTGCCAAAAAGAGCAAATGCTATTTTGGGATGCATTAGCAGAAGTATTATGTCCAAATCACAAGTAGTAGTAGTTCCTCTATACTCCTCACTAGTCAGACGCCATCTGGAATAGTGTGTCCAGTTCTGGGCATCAAGGTTTAAGAAAGATGCAGGTAAATTAGAAAGGGTCCAGTGGAGGGCCACCAAAATGATCCAGGATTTGGGAACACTGCCCTATGAGGAGAGGCTGAGAGAACTGGGCATGTTCAGACTTGAGAAGAGTGGGGGGTGGGGGGGGGCATGATATCCTTCTATAAGTATCTCAAAGGCTGCCACAAAGAGGAAGGCCAAGATCTCTTCTTGCTGATGCCAGAGCATAGGAAACGGAATAATCCAAGTTGTGACAACCCAGATTCAGGCTGGACATCAGGAAAAGCTTTCTCAGTGTCACAGCAATACAACAGTGGAACCAGCTGCCTAGAGAGGTGGTGGACTCTCCCACACTAAACATTCAAAAAGACAATGGACAGCCATCTGAGTGGGATGGTGTAATGTGGTGTCCTGCAATAGCAGGGGGTTGGACTCAGTGGCCTTCATGGCCCCTTCCAACTCTACTATTCTATGATATGGCTGCTGATGCAATCTAGAGCATCATGCAAAGGCTGGAGTGCCAGCAGCGACTTTGGAAATGCATTCCAAGGCTGGAAGTAGAACTGTGACCTCCAAGTACCTTCCCTTCATCCTCATAGCTGGCATGTTTTCTTCTGTGCCAGTCTTGACACCAAGAAATGAAGACTGTTTTTAGAGCCTGTGCTGAAGGCATGCTCTGTGGAGAGTGGGGAAGTGAGTTTCTATATGGACATGGTATATCCTGGTGTGATCCAGCCTGTCCTTGCCAGCAGAGCAAGATACTTAGATGGCTGAAATGGGGGAGACAAAGCATGAAGGTGATTTTCTGTTCTCGAGAGGATGCTTTATAATTCTCTGAGTCCCAAGTTTTGGGTACCCACACTGATGGTGCTGCTCAATACATTTTGTGATACATTAAAATACATTCTTGCAAAGACATTTATATAAAACATATCAGTACAACTCTAAACCTACAAAGCTGGCAGCTCTCTCCGCCCCCAGCTGGCATGCAAGGCTATGCAATGGCTTGAGAGGAGTACCGTCCCAGGTGTTTTACAGGTCTAGCCTCCATCCTATGTTGTTTTAGCTGATTTTTTACATGTTTGTCTTCTGGAAAATGTGTATGCTCTGTTGTTATATTAGGGACTCTGGTAAACCACCCAGAGCGCTTCGGCTACAGGCAGTATAGAAATCTAATAGGATGCTGATTCCTCCGGCCAAACACAGCTGCTTCTTACTGGGTCCGAGTGCCACTGCCGAGGCAGCCCGGCGGATTTATTCTTCAGTGCCAGCCCCACCCTCGCCTCACCCTTCTTCGATCTTCTGGCCCCAGCCGTTTCCTTTAGGAGAGGAAACGGCGATGGATGCGGTGGCGTCAAGGAGGAAGGACGTCGGCCTTGTATCTTCTTGTTCTCTTCCACCGTCCAGCAACCTGGTATGCCGCCTCAGGCAGTCGCCACACGGGAGCAGCACATGCTAGCACGAAAACGAAAGCCGCGCCTGGCCATCTCTCCCACTTTCGGCAAGGTGGGATCTAGGCTGGGCGTTCGCAGGCGGGCGGGGAAGAGGGCCACGAAGCACGGCCGCTTCTTCTTCTTCCCTCCTTTTTGTTCCGGGAGTTAGAGTGCAAACCACATGGCAGGCAGGCAGGCCAAGAGGGAGAACGCGCGGCCGCCCGCTGCTTTTCCCGCTCGCAGCCGCACGGGACCAGCCCGCCTCTCTCCCGCCTGCCGCTCGCCTCCCCCGCCCCCTCCCCTCCCCTCCCCTCCCGCCGGCGGCTCAGTTCCACGGGAGAACAGCCGGTTGCCGTCGAGCGCAGGCAGGGCGGCTCGATGGCTACCCTTCCTCCGCTGCGCCGCCCGGCTGCTTCCGCCGCTGTCGCCCCCCGCCGTCAGGCGAGGCCTCTCCTCCCTTGGCCTCCGAGCGAGCGATGGGGCTGGGCTGCCCCGGAGGGGGGCTCTTCTGGCTGGTGCTCGCCTCCGGGGCATTCTGGGGCCAGGCCTCTTGCCAGGCGCCGCCTCAGGGCTTTCGATTCCTTTCCTACGAGGTGATCATCCCCAGGAGAATGGCGCCCCGGCGTGGGCGGGAGCCCCAAGACCTCACGTACTTACTGGAGCTTGAGGGAAAGGGCCACGTGGTGCATCTCCGGCAAAAGAGAGGTTTTGTCCCAAAACACTTCCCCGTCTTCAGCTACAGCAGGGCTGGGGACCTGCAGGTGGATTATCCTTTCATCAGGGATGACTGTTTCTACCATGGCTTTGTCCAGGACAAGCCCTCCTCTCTGGTTTCGCTCAGCACTTGCTCAGGGGGCCTCAGGGGCCTCCTCCAGATAGATGGCAGGATCTATGAAATTGAACCTGCCCAGGCATCTGCTGGACAACATGTGGTGTATCGGTTGGGAGAGAAAGAGGGTACAGTCCGCATGACCTGTGGGCTAATGGAGGAAGAGCAAAGGCATCAAGTGGCCATGTTCCAGAACACAGAGAATGTAGCGAGCAAAAGTGTCCGGGGAAGCCTGTGGAAGTCACAACCCAGGTATGTGAAGATTGCAGTTGTGGTGGAACATGGATGGTATGTCCAGCTTGGAAACAATGAAACAGCTGCTGCTAGGCAAGTGCTGGATGCTGCCCATATTGTGGATTCACTCTATAAACCTCTTGGTGTTCATGTGGCTGTGGTTGGATTGGAGCTTTGGTCACAAAGGAATCTCATAACCATTACAAAAAGTATAGATGAGCTACTGTTGATGTTCAATACATGGAGAAAAACGATACTCCTCCAACGTCTGAGGCATGATGTTGGCCATCTGTTTGTATATAAGCGTTTTGGAGCTAAGCTCGGATTATCATTCATAGGAACAGTGTGTGATCCCACCTCGGCATCTGCTGTTGAGTCATTTATTACATCTAGTTTGTTTTCATTCAGTATAACTTTTGCTCATCAGTTGGGCCATAACCTTGGCATGTTACATGATGGGAAGGAGTGCACTTGTGATCAGCATTCTTGCATTATGGCCTCATTACAGAACAGCACAAGTAAATTCAGCAATTGCAGTTATGACAGTTATTTTAACCTGATCAATAGTGATGGGAAGCATTGTCTGTTAATTCCACCAGAACATGAGAAACTGTATGAACCCCAAAACTGTGGCAACAATGTGGTAGAAAGTGGAGAACAATGTGACTGTGGTTCAGAATATCATTGTGACTCAGATGCATGCTGCCAGTCTAACTGTATGTTACGGACAGGAGCCACTTGTGCTTTTGGAACATGCTGTGCCAACTGCCAATTTATTTCAGCTGGAACACTTTGTAGAGAAAGCACTAATATATGTGACCTTCCTGAATATTGCACTGGGTTTTCAGAGTTATGCCCTGAAGATGTTTATGTACAAGATGGAACCCCATGTTATGGTGATGCCTACTGTTATCATGGGAAATGTTCTACTCATGATGAACAATGCAAAAGTATTTTTGGTGAACGAGCAGTGGTTGCCCCACTAAATTGCTTCACAGAAATAAACACTCGAGGTGACCGTTTTGGCAATTGTGGCACTATTCCTGGTAATATTTATAAGAAATGTGAAAACAGGAATGTCTTGTGTGGGAGAGTCCAGTGCATAAACATTGATGAGGTACCTGACTTGAATGAGCATAGCACCATAATTCAGACTTCTCTTAGCAACAGCTTGTGCTGGGGTACAAACTACCCAACTGGAATAGGCATAGCTGATACTGGAGCAGTGAGGGATGGCACACAATGTGGCAGTGGCATGATATGTATTGATAGCGATTGTATCAAGGTCTCTCTCCTGAATTATGATTGTAATCAAACAAAGTGCCATAACAGAGGCATATGCAATTCTCATAAAAATTGTCATTGTGACTCTGGTTGGGCTCCTCCATATTGTCTTAGTGCAGGTTATGGTGGCAGCATTGACAGTGGGCCTCCTTCGCCCAACGGTGGGAATGTAGGAATTATTTCAGGCATTGTAAGAGTTCTTCCTGTTATTGTTGTTTCTGGAACTGCAATTGGCTTTGTATAAGGAACTGATGGAATTGTTGATGTGACTATATTTCACTTACTCATGTCTCAGATGTCAAATTCTTTTATAAGGACAAGCCTTAAGTGTCTAACTTAACATTGAGAACACTTAGGAGAGGATGAGCTTATAAAAGATGACCTGTACTAAGCTCTTTGGTAAGCTATACTGCAATAATGCATTTTGTTGTAAAATTTATTTAGCCTCTAAGAATGAAAACAGCAGCAGCTTTTACAATCATTAGTTTTCTAGGCTTATCAGCTTATGTAAATACTTGAGAAATCTAGATAATAATGACTGAAGATGCCATCACACAGGACTTGCCATGATAATTACCATGGAGTGTCTTAGAGACATAGAGCATGCCCACCACTGAATACTATGTACTTAAATAGATTCTGTCTGACAGATGTCATTTGCAGGTCACGTGGAGATAATAGAATCAATGATTATGCGAAACCACTGGTTAAAAATAAAGAAATAGCCTTGTTCGTTATTCTAATTGGCACTTGCATCTTTTTTAACCCTGTATTATTTGAAAGGAGAAACCAACATTCTTATTCTTGCTAAAACTCAAGCACATTAGTAGGTAATAGGTTGGCACAATTCTTTTTGACCCAAAAGATAGTTCTTGAAATGATTTCCACAAGTGCCTGCATTTAATAACATTGCATTGGAACTGGACAGTGGAATTGAGAGTTTAGTCAAATAACTGAGGTGTATTCCTGGACAAGTGTAGTTCAGAGTTTCATCTTCAAGCAAATTATGTGTATGACTTAAATCACAAATTATTGTGATAAAATATTTATATCCACTGGAAGTTCCTAACTGCTGTTTTGTAGTGGTAAATATTTAGACTGAACTGACTTTTGCAAACTATAACAGAAAGACCACCAGAAGTTTGGGAAAAAATTCCAAAAAGAATTTTTCAGAGGATGTGTAGATGTAGAATAATGAACAATTCCACAATAATGACAATACAAGCTTTCTCGTGCATCTGAATTTCTTTAGAAAAAAGTAAAAGAGCTCAAAATGGTACATTCATTAACTTCTGATTCAAAAATTTTGTAGGTTTACAAAATCAACAATTTTGGCAGCAGTCTTATCACAAGAACAAATAGTGGGCAATATTCAGTGCTGCCCTGTGTTAGTGGGGCCTACTACTAGCGCAGTCAGAAGCTCACAACTCCCGAAGAAAGTGGAAACAAGTGGAAATACCTACTTTGGCAACAGCCTGCATCAGCACAGCTTGGAAAATTGACCTGTTCTGTTCCAGAAACTAATGTTTCTTCTAGTATTTTGGCCTGCTTTAGGCCTGTTGGGCAGTGGGTCCCACTGGCAGAAAAGAGTGGGAGTGCAGTGGCAGTTTTGGATACTGCCCAGTGGATAGAATCATAGCATAAATACATCAATCCTGGTGGAATGACCAATTTGTGTCTTCACATAGCCTTTGCAAATGTATTTTTTCTAATGGAGTTGAATGTGTTCCCCCCACCCGCATATACATATTAGGTAGTTCTGTGCTCATGCCAACATTCTGTTTTTGTCAATGTATTTAATCATGTGTAAGTGTGTTATGCATTGCAGCACCTACTGATGGAAAAACTGACACACTGCTTTCTTTGTTAAGAACGTTGTAAAGAACAAATGTTATATCTGTTCATCAACTGTCTTGCAAGCATAAAACATAATTGTAACACACAATGGCAAACTATCTTGATTTCTTGCATATTTTCTACAGGGCAGAAGTGCAAACCAGTGGAGCTTTCTGGTGTTTATGCTGTAGAGAAATATTCCTTAAGCAACCAAACCTTTGAGGTGAAAACATTTTTTATGGATCCCTGTAATGTTAGAAAATTGCCTCAGTGAAACTGATTTAATTAAAACACTGCTCCTATAAAATTTACCTGCTTCACTCACAATTTGCTTTGCATTCTGATATAACCCCAGAACATTAAGTTTTGTATTTTCACATAATCCATACATCAGGACTATATTGCTTTGCAGTTGGATTTCTTGTATGAATCAATTTAGAGTTCTGACCAGGAATACTTGTACAGAACAGTTTACTGTATATACTTTTAAAAATAGCTCACATTTATTGTATTATTTATCATATGCAATGATAAATAGTACAGTGTAATAATTATTTCAAAGTGCTCTTTACTGATGTGCAACCATGAGAACTGTTACTCAGAGATGATTTCAGATAACTAAAGCATTTTTATTTACCAGATATTTGAGGCTGCTGTAGTCTGCTTTTTTATTCTGCAATACTAATCTCATAAAAAGGAGTACATTTTTCCCCCCTCAGGCTATCAAGAAATTTGGTGTTTTGGCCTTGAGAGTAGGTATTATGAATGCAAATCTGTCTCCAGACAGTGTATTTATAAACATGTACTTTTGGGTAATTTTTGCCTCAATTGAAGTATCCAAAAGTATGATTCGCTATAGATCATTTGTAAATTTAACACTTTTGATATTTTCTGGGTTAATGCAATATCCTTTTAACTTGGGTTTTAAATTTTCTGTGAGCAGAATAGACAGCTTGAAACTATAACATCTTAAACTTACCCAGTGAAAGATCATTCTAATTTCTTCTTCCTTATAGAGGAGGAGGAAGAAAATTACAGTGTGCAATAAAATAAAATTTAAAATTATGGCAAAATGGTTATACAAAAACATGGCTTCACCAGTTAAGTCTCCTTGAACCATCACAAGTTGTATACTGCTAATGGCCCATCAAATTTGTTGAGATAATTATGGAAGTGTTTCCTTAAATCCTCTCTCCTATTTCTTAGCCTCTCTCTGCAGTCATGGAAAGAGATGGTGATCTTGATTGACCAGTGGGAGCAGAATGAGAAATAAGTGCAGTCCCAACCCCGCACCCCCTTAGCTAAGAAAGGGAGAAAAAAGTAAAATTGCCACAAGCCAACCACCTCTTTCCTGGCAAGAAATGGGTCAGGAGACCTAAAGAACTCCATCCCATATCCTTTGAACTGCTGTTTCCTCTGTATGTGTATGTAAGAAAGTATAAATACCGTTTTGGTAGAAAGATGGAGTACAAATAATATAAATAATAAATATGTTGTCATTCACCAGAGAAGAGAGCTCTGCTATATGTGTTTTACAAGGATGCTTCACAGTCTTTTTGGAAATAGGAAAAGGAGAGAGTGAATTGTTACTTTGCCACCCACACAGCCATGTCCCACCCGTTAGTGCGATAGAACACAGCAAAATGGGTACATAAAAGTGTAGAAAATATTCTCAACATGTAGAAAGTTGCTTGCAGGTCTGCTTGTAGCTTACATGGGAAGAACATTGACTGCAGTGCTAGAAGCCCTGTCTGGAAGTATCCTTTGGTCTTCTGTACATGATACATTTATCCTGCTGCTTTATGAAGACATCTTCCATTTGCTTTGCAGGAAGAAGTGTGTGTTCTTTACCTAGGTTTTCTTTCCCAGGTTTTTCTTTTTCTACCTTTCAGAATATTTCATTATATTTGGTGTATAGTGAAATTGTGACAATATGCAAGATTTTCCTTCCAGTTTGTTCCACATTTGAAATGTAATAGCTTACTTTCCTCGCGGTAAAAAAACAAAACAAAACATAGAAACAGAGCAAGTCAGAAGGGGTCTCCCAGGCCATCTAGTCTGACCCATGGCTCCACCCAGCTCTGCTCATGGCATGCCTACCATGTGCATGTCTAGCCTATCTTTGAACACCCTCACTGATGGGACTTCAACCATGTCTCGTGGAAACCTATTCCATACCCTTGGGGTCCTGACTGTCAGGAAGTACTTCCTGGCATCTAAATGGAACCTTGGTTCCTTGAGCTTGGCTCCATTGGAGCGCGCTCTGCCTTCCTCTGCAGGGGAGAACAGGTTTCTTCCCACCTCTGTGTGACACACCCTCATGTACCTATATGTCACCAACGGATCCCCTCGGAGTCTCCTCCTCTCCAGGCTGAAAAGACCCAGCTCCCTCAGTCTCACATCATATGACTTTCCCTGCAATCCAGCCACCATCCTTGTGGTCCTACACTGCACTGGCTCTAACCTGGCTATATCCTTCCTGTAATGTGGAGCCCAGAACTGAACACAATACTCCAGTCGTGTGCTTTTATCTTTCCTACAATGGATGTAAGGCTAACTGGTCTGTAATCCCCCATGTCCCCTCTACTACCTTTTTGGAAAATTGGGACCAGAGATGCCACCCTCCAGTCCTCTAGAACCTCACCCGTTCTCCATGAGGCCTCAAAAATAGAGGTCAGCGGATGCGAAAGAACCGCCACCATCTCCGGAAGTACTCTCAGGTGTAACCCATCAGGGCCTAGTGCCTTTGTAACATCCAGTGCCCTGAGGAGCTCCTTGACTTCTAGGGGTGTGATTCTAATCTGTGCCCCTAAGTCCCTGGCCTCATCCGATCCCCCATGAGGATCTCCCCTGTCCTGCTTTGGGAAGAACACAGAGGCAAAATAGTCATTTAGCATCTGTGCCTGTTCCTTCACATCAGTCACTGAATCCCTTTCCCACTGACTGTCACCCCTTCTTGTTATTTACATGTTAATAGAAGTCCTTTTTGTTGCTCCTGATATTCTTTGCAAAAATCCATTCCAAACTTCTGTGACTGAGGGGTCATGAACACACAATAATGTCCTTAAAGTTAGAATAGACATCTTATTAGAAAAATTAAGGAGCTGCAACCAAGCTCAAACTAATAATATTATTTGGTAGAATCAAAATATAAATGGTTACATTGTTTATTTAATTTGCTTAAATAAGAGTTTAAAGTGGAACAATGGACTGAAGAATGGTTGAAGAAAAATGGTAAGTGTAGAGATCTTACCAAATTTGAGGAGATTATGATGTACAGGGAGACACAAGGTAGTATGCAAATAAGAGGGATTATAAATGAGATATATAAGATTTTATTGGACAGGTAGGGCATATATGATGTTTTTTAAATTTCATGAGAATGGACTTAGGGAAAGTTATAGACAAGAATGGGGAAAATATGGGGTAAGAGAATATTAAAAAGTATGTCAATTAGAATTAAGGAAAATTTTTATTAGTATGCAAATGGTGCATGATGCTGGTAAAATTATATGGATATGGATAATGTTCTAATTTATATTGGAGGTGTGGGCAAAAAATGGGTACCTACTTCCATATGTGGTGGGATTGTGAAACATGAAGAAATTTTGAATAATGTTTTAAGGGGATTAGCAAAATATTGAATTTAAAAACTGAAGCAGATCCTGAAATAGCATTGTTGTTATTATTTTATGAAAAGAAATGGAAATGGGATATTAAAGAATTAATAATAAATTTGGTAACAGCAGCAAAACTGATAATAACAAAGAAATGGAAGGGGAAATTGAATCTTCAGTTAAGTTTGGAATATAGCTGTTAATAAATTGATGTGTGGGGTTAGGGTGAAAGAAGAATAGATAAAAAATATTTTAATGATGTATGGCAAGTGTGTTTTTTGTGTGTGGGGGGGTTATATATAAAGGGTATTGTGTATCTTGTATTGCTTCTTTTTTGTTATATGATGCATTTTGTAATTGTATTCTTTTAAAAATAAAAAATAAATTAACTTTCATCTTTTTCCTCACTATAGAGAATTTATTATGGAAAAATTTCTGCACAATGCCTTCTAGTTGGTAGAGTCAGGAGCCTTCTGCCTGGATACATCCTAGCTTTAATAATTCAAATAATCTAGTACCTCAATGGACCTTAGATTAGAACATCAGAAGGTTTAAGAGGAACCATTTGGGGAAGAAATACTCTAGGAATTTTTTCAAATAGATATTGACTGAGGAAGCAGTTTGTATTAACATATAAGCAGAATACAAGAATACAAAGACTTGTCCTTTGGAAGAAGCTTTGATGGGAGCATGTTTTTACTCTTAACCAGTGGCTCAGGAATGATATCCTAAAGGGTGAGGCATTAAATAAGAAAATGAGAAAAAAAAATCAAGACAATGTGGGAAAAGCTCTGACCTTGTTTTTTAGGCTTCCCTAAATTTTGGATTGGTAAGAATATCTTTGCCAAGGAGAGGCAAACTAAGAATGTACAAGTTTGACTTGTGAATGCTGTTATGAAGGCTCTGAACTGGGACCCTGAATTTTCCTAAGCAGCACTAAGTGGCTAAATGATTGTGCTCTAAAATGCATAATCCAATTACCAAGCATTTGTTTTCATAATGTATATTTCAAATGGTAGCTTATCTGACACTGCTTCATGTTGCATCATATTTTCTGAACACAGCAAGAAGCTTGCACTGTATCTTCTAGTGTATTTGTAACACAGAACGTAGAAACAGTGCGAGTCAGAAGGGGTCTCCCAGGCTATCTAGTCTGACCCCCAGCTCTAGCCGGCTCCACTCAAAGAAGCTTTCAGGACCCTCTAAATATATAGTACATACATTCCAATAATCTATTGTGAATTTTGTAGATTATCTTAATTTTCCTGGTTTTGATTCTCAGATTTTTAGCAAGCATGCCCCTTCTTCCTGTAGACCTCCCAGCAAGTATTCTTCAATCATCTTTTCCTTCCTAACCATCTGATGAATCGAGATCATCATGCTATTCTATAAGAACATAAAAACCATGTTGAATCAGACCAAGAGTCCATCTAATGCAGCATTCTGCTCACACAGTGGCAAACCAGCTGCTCTCAGGATCCCGCAATCAGAATATGAGTACAAAAGCAGTTCCTCAGCAACTGGCATACATATGCATATTGCCTCTGATATGGGAGGTAGTGTATCAGGACTAATAGTAATTGATAGTATTTTCTTCCATGAATTTGTCCAACCCCATGTCACTTTTTCTGCATCATGCATAAATTAGAATATCTCAGTTTCCCCTTTTTTTCTAAGCTAAACTATCCCAACTGTTGTAACTGTTCCTCATAGGGGAAGTATTCTAACCCCTCAATCCTATTAGTTGCATTTTTCCGACCCTGCAATACCCTTTAGGTTCAGTGACCAGAATTCTATGCACATTGTAAGTGCAATTGCACCAAACATTTGTATGTAGAGAGTATGATCTTAGCGGCTTTGTTTTCAACTGCTTTCCTATTTGTGGCTGTTAAGGAGTTTGCCCTTTTCCTCAGCAGTTGTGCATTGGATCAACATTAAGCTTAGCTGTTACTGCTGCATATTTTATCCAATATTATCCTCAACAATATCACTGGTAATAAATTACCTTTTTATCCTACCTTGTTTTCCTCTTGTGATGAACCCAAGGGGACTTACATAGCTCCAGTTTATCCTCATAACAACAACCCTGTGAGGTAGGTTAGACTGACATTTACTCCCAGTATATCAGTATTAACTCCTCAGGAACCTCCTCTAAATGTATGACACACCCCTTCCATTAGTCTGCCGTTAGCTTCCTTGATTGCCTTTAATTTTCCTAATATTGATTCTGAAACTCTCAGCATGCTTGTCTCTTCTTCTAGACCTTTCAGAAAGCACTCTTCAAATATGTATTCCTTCCTGTCCATCTGTTAGATGAGGTTCTCATCATTCTAATCCATCTTTGGTCTTCAAGCTCCTCCCCCATTCCAAAGGTAACTTGAAGGATTGTTGCTATGGACACAATCCCCCTCCTTTTCTGTCTAATGAGCAGCATCCTTCCAATCTTCCTTCAGGCTCAGCCTGAACTAGCTGTTGAAGGGAACTTATGTGTGGTTATGGTAGATCCTTTCCACCATTAGGGAAAATGGAGACAATTTCCGCCTGGCTGCTGGTGCTGATCATATGGAATGTTCTGAATGAGACTGCAGGTCAGATACTACCACAAGGTTTTACATATGCCTCTTATGAAGTAATCATCCCAAGGAAACTGACTCCTAGATATGGACAACGGGAATCTCAGCATGTCACCTACCTGATACAAATTGAAGGGAAGAGCCAGACAGTGCATCTCACACAGAAGAGAAGTTTTCTCCCTAAACACTTCCCTGTCTTCACCTATAGTAAGGAAGGGGAACTCCAGGTAGATTATCCATTCATTAGGGATGACTGCTTCTACCATGGCTTTGTCCAAGGAATGCCTTCCTCTTCGGTCACCATCAGCACTTGCTCAGAGGGACTCAGGGGTTTGTTTCAATTAGAAAACCGGAGTTATGAAATTGAACCTGTCCAGGCATCTGCTTCTTTTCAGCATGTGGTATATCGCTTGGAAGAAGAGATAGGTGCAGTCCCTGTGAGTTGTGGGCTAACGGAGGAAGAACAAAGTCGTCAGGTGGCTATGATGCAGGGAACAGAGGTTTTAGTGGACAAAAGTGCTCCTGGAGAAAACTGGTGGACACACACTAGGTATCTGAAGCTTGCTGTTGTGATTGAACATGAGCGATATGTGAAATTTGGTAGAAATGAAACTCTTACTGTTCTTCAAGTTTTGAATATTATCCATACTTCAAATTCATTGTTTAAGCCTCTTTCTGTTAAGTTGACTATAATTGGTCTGGAGATCTGGTCACAGAAGAACTTAATAAATGTTACTAGCATAGGAAGTACCCTTGAGAAATTCAGAATTTGGAGAAGAAACTCACTGAACAATCGTCTTGAAAATGATGTTGCTAACTTATTTGCATATAAGAAGTTTGGAATTGCAGCTGGATTAGCATATGTAGGAACTGTTTGTTCTAAAGACTGGTCAAGTACTGTTGAGGAATTTGTTACAAGTAGTTTGTTGGAGTTTTCTGTGATATTCACCCATGAACTGGGACATATCATTGGAATGATTCATGATGGTAAATTCTGTAAATGTGATCGAAAAAAATGTATAATGTCTCCAACTTTGGCAAGCACTGATAAATTTAGCAATTGCAGTTATTCTGATTATTTTAGAAAAAGGAATGCTCGTTGCTTATTTTTCCCACCGGACCCTAATAAAATATATAAATTCAAATATTGTGGCAACAAAGTGGTTGAAAGTGGTGAGCAATGTGATTGTGGCTCAAAAGCTGAATGTGATTTGGATCCATGTTGCCAATCCGATTGTACATTACGTTCAGGTGTCACTTGTGCCTTTGGACAATGCTGTGCCAAGTGCCAGTATCTTCCAGCACGGTCCATTTGCAGAGGAAAGGCTGGCGACTGTGATCTGCCTGAATATTGCAACGGGACTTCACAGTGGTGTCCTGACGATGTTTACATACAAGATGGTACCCCATGCAGCAATGGTGCATATTGTTATCATGGGAATTGCACTGTTCATAATGGGCAGTGCAAAATGATCTTTGGTGACAAAGCAACTGTTGCTTCAGATAATTGTTTCAGATTAATGAATGTTCAAGGTGATCGTTTTGGCAACTGTGGCCTTAAACATGGAATTTACACAAAATGTAATCCTACGGATATTCTGTGTGGTCGAATTCAATGTGAAAATATTGTTAATTTACCTTCTTTTGAGGAGCACAGCACCATAATTCATTACCAGGCTGGCAACACTGAATGCTGGAGTTTAGACTACCACAGTGGAATGGAGATAGCTGATGTTGGCGCAATAAGAGATGGGACTCCTTGTGGCAATGGCATGATGTGTATTGGTGGGCAATGCAAGAATGTGTCCCTTTTGAACTATGATTGTGATGTCACAAAGTGCCATAATCGGGGAAGATGCAACTCCCAGAAACATTGCCACTGTGATTATGGCTGGGCACCTCCAGACTGCCTAAGCAAAGGCTACGGTGGCAGCATCGACAGTGGACCTGCTGCAGAAGAGCAGAGTGCTGCTATTACAGGAATTATTATAGGAACTGCATGTGCCCTTTTTATTGCCTTCATTGGGCTTGCTCTGGGAATATTTTACAAGACTGTGCTGAAGCAAAAGCTTAGAAGAGTGAGTTCAAGAATCCAGCCAACAGAAACAACATAGGAAGAAAACCTGCAGCGTAGAATACATAGAATAATGAAAATGTACGAAGATGAATGGGTTCTATAATGTATAGTTTATATTAAATTATATTTGCTTTCTATTAATATTTTCTACAACTTTTTAAAAAAAAACCTCACAGGAAACTCTTCAGTTTATCTAGCTTCTTTTTCTGGCCTTACGTTCTGGTTGTTCTTATAGTTCAACACACAGGAATCTTTCCTATCATCTCACAGTGCAAACGGCTCCTATTCTTTTCTCCCATCCTGTGAAATGGAAGGCCTGAATAAAAGTCCTACTTCAAATGGGAAACCACAATGCATGTTGTAGTATTACTTGAATAGTGAAGATGATTTTACTTAGGGGGTTCTCCACATGAGGCATTTATTGTGCACTCATGGTCCTTCACTCAATGCAATTTGCAGGGCCTTTTCAAGGGAGAGGCCATCATCCAGGGCCTCTCCCACGTTTCCCAACCATTTCCAGAGGGTTTTAGTGCAATAAAAGTCTGGTAATACATGTCAGGCAGAACCAAAATTCTCTGGAAAAGTTTCAGATCCATTACACTGTGCCACTTTGTGTTTGGGGAATAGAATATATGAAAAAGGCAAACCCAGGGGAAAAATTGTAAAGCACACACTTATGAAAATGGAAGATGATGCCACGGTAAAGCAGCAGGTTAAATCTCTTATATAACAAAGCCTTTAGTGTCAGTGGATGCATAGTTATGCTTTGGAGCAAATTCATATTATATGAAGAAATGATACTGATAACTTTACGTCCCAAAATACTAATCTTCTAATGTACCAGAAATATGAGGGGTGACCCAACCCCCCTAGCAATTCTCTTCTGGAGGGTGGGCACCTTATAGGACAGGCTTCCCTTGCTAGGGGAATGGTCTAGGAACCCGTCTGCATCAGTGTACCCAGCTGGGTGGCTGTGAGAGGCTCCATCCAGCTTCCATGAGTTTTTTCTAGAGACTCTTTCAACCCTTTTGCCTCTTCCATGATGGCTGATTTACACGAGCGATGTGCGGCAGTGAAATGTTGTTCAGCTGAGTGCGTATATGTGTCCCCCTTGTACACATATACACACACTTTAGAAACCAAAGAAGCTGGAAACAAACGGCCAAAAATACATCTTGCACTGAATTTAGCATGTCAGAAACTATACTTAAATTAACCACAATGGCTTCAATCCTTTCTGCCCCCTCCAGGCAAGTGCAAATAAAAGACGAAAAGCAGACACAAGTGCAGGCTGCAGGCACTATGTTAATGATGTTTGCTGCTGATCTGCTAGGCAGTTCAAAATCACTTTGTAAAATCCATTGAAAAAAAGGTGCCGGAACGCTGTTCTGGTGCGTTCTATGACAAAAAAAGCCCTGGGTAAAGGTAATCAGTTAACATGGCATTCAGCTCACATGCCTCCTTCTCCCTGTATGATCCGCCTTCACTTTTGTTCATCAGCTGTTCCAGTCCTATCTCCAAGAGAGGTGAGATTGGTAGCATTATATTAGCACTGGCAGCATCAGCAGTCGGGAATGCTGTCCCAAGGGAGAGAGAAGCTTTTGTGGCATTTAAATAACTTAAGAAGATATTGAGCCTTTAAAAAGGTTGCTTCCTGGTTTCATCATCATACCCTGGCTTCAAATACATTTTTGGGATTTTATTTTTACAAAATATTTTGTATTTCTATTGTACAGTGCTTCAAAACTGTTCAAATGGAGAGCCCATGCAAAACTTTTCTAAACAAAAAATGTTTTAAAAGGAAATTTCATTTAAAATTCCCAACTTCCATGCATTGCACAATACACATAAAGTAAGGAAACCCACAATTCCTTAGGTAAATACCTTCCCAAACTGCCTGAGGAAGAGAGTGCACCAGGCATTATGCCTTATTACATTGTTCCAAGTATTCCTTTGTTTTAAGCCATTCTCAGTGCCATTTTACTTCTGTAATTTCGGCAAAATGGAATCCATGTGCTTCACTGAAGCCGTATGAAGAGAGAGGGAGTTTGCCAGGAGAAGCCTCAAGTCCGGGGTTTTTTTATCAGAGAAAATTCAACCATTGGGCAGCAGAGTTGTGCACCCGGAAAAAATAGGGCACCTGGGATAATAAGAAATAAATTGGACTGTGAAAGGAGGTTAGGATGCATTCCTGCAGCCCCTCACCCCCTGCCCCGCCCCACCATGGGTGTGAGGTTGCAGTGGCAAGTATTGAATGTCTGCAGGACCTTGGACAAGGTTAAGTCACCAGCCAAGTTGTACTTAATAGATATTCCTGGTGAACACTGGTGGGAGCAGAGAATTCAGAAGTGCTTCACGATCACCAAAACTACAACTCTGCCTGAAGATTTACTTTTTGCTACACTGGAGTCAGAGCCCTGGAATGGCAATTTATGACCAGATGAGGCATAGAAGCTCCTCCAGGGCCTTGTTTTCATCCAAGCTGGAGGCAAGCAAACTTTAAAAGGAAAAGCAATAAGCCAAGCTAGCTGTCCTCAGGAAGAAACTTGTCTCCCTTGATAAGGTCTGGGAGTAAATCATCCAACCTTCTGACATTTCCTATTAGGCCCAAAGAAGAGAAATAGCAGAAAAGCCACTCAGTTAACTTAGTTAATGCTTGAGCTCTTATACCTCCCTGGCCCTCCTTTTCACTTATGTTTTTGTATATGTTCAGGTAAGAGAACTGAAACAACAGCAATGTCGTGGATGGCATGATTTAATGGAAGGGTTATTCTAGAATAATGATCCTGGTAGGATGAGACTCTGGTGTTCAAACAGCCTATGACTCTGAGTTAACAATAAACACAATAAAACTTTATTTGTACATTAAGCGTATTGGTTTCAAGTTGTTCAGTAACTTATAAATTTAGTGAATAAAACAATGTATAATAACTTTTAACTGAGATATCTTACTCTTTCCATTGATTCCTCACTCACAAATCCTCCTTTCTCTTCTGAATCTTCTTCGACCAGTCCTTATTTATCTCAATTCAGTCTTTCCCTCCCGAACTCAGATTTCTTCAGTTTCTATCTGTCACCCCCCTTATGATGTACAAATCAGCAGGTAGAACTTTCATTGGTTAAATCATGCAATCAGTGTCATGTAACCAGGTCTGAGAAAAACCCTCTTCTCTGGCAATCAGCATGTGTGCATCCTTGAAATGTAGCTGACACTCACCAGGCAGCAGAGAAAGCTGGTTGGCACTTGACAGATTACAGCTGCTCAAACAAAGAGCAGTTCACAGCAGCCCAGCCCATCCTCCTCCTCTTCTGTGTAACAACACCTCATCCTCCCCTTTCCTTTGGAGCACCTTCTTTGTAACTGGAAAAGATGACGCCATCACAACTTTTCATTTCTGTAACCTATTGGAAAGTGTTAAATGTGCTATGCGTAACCCTCTAATGATCAATGTATGAAAGGGCCAACTGAGGACTGCTCAGGTGCGCCATCTGGAATGACTGATTTATTGGAAGCTGGTTATTCTCATGAATAAATCCTTTAAAAGAAAATCTTCACCTGATGTGTCTTCTGGGCACGTGCACACCAGACCATTTGGTCAACACTTATAACACTTGACAATATTAACTTTTGACTCTCCTTGGTCTCTAATGTGTCTTCTAAATAGTCTAACTCCTTCCCTTTCCTTATGAATCCTAAATACCTTTCATAGCACTATGTAGGATTCTAAGGAGAAGGCTGCCTCTTCAAATTCTGCAGGTCACTAACTGCTTCTAACTGACCGTAACTGCTGACAGACCACAGATGAGTGACTGAATGTATGTATTACTCTCTACTGACACACTCCCAAGCTCCGCCCCCACACTCACAGTCACCAACCAATCACCTCACTCACTCAGTCCCCTCTTTGACCCTCCCTTGCCCATCTGAAACTTACCAACATTTAAATGAGCACACACCCAACACTTTAAATCATTACACAAAGCATTTGAGTTTTCAAAAATACTTCCTGAGTATAAATAAAGGCCATGTAAAATAGAGAAAGACCATGTAAAATTGCCATCGGGCAATTCAATGTATTACATTCATTTTAAGTGTACTTACCCTACCCCATAGATTTAACTTTAAAGATGTCAATCAGGCACTATCCCATAAGATCCCATTGTTACCAGTGACGCTCCCTTTCACCCTGACTTAAGTTAGCCTAAGGAAGACTACATAGCTGGGGAGCTGCAGCCATGTTGCGTTTCCTGTCCAGGAGGGAGGAGGGGGAGACAGGAGAGTAATGAACCCTGTGTGAACTCCTGTGACAGGTTGGCTGAATATCAAAGGAGGCAAGTGGGGAGAACCCATGACGCCTGAAACTGGTTGGAATCTCAAAGTAGCAAAATACATTATGAATTGCAGTAGGTGAGAAACATGAAGCAGATGTGAATGATCTGGAGATTATTAGCAGACATATGGGAAGGGAAGTCCTTGGAAGAATAAAGAGTTTTTCTGTAAACTAACAAAAGGAACAGTGAACAAAATGTGAATGTATTGACTTTGTATCTGGACATCATGTTTGTGACACGGGGTATATAATGTATGTTCCCTGTATTTCTTTCGAGACTCATATTTGGGAAAGCATCTCCCCTCTGTCTCCGTTTATTCTAAAAGTGCACTAGAATAAACTGTTTTTGGCTCTAAGTCTTGTCTCAGGCTCCATTTGACTTGGGGTCAGGGGTCCACCCAGGTTTGCCCTAGCCAGTGACCAGCTAAATTCAGTAACACCATTAATCTGCTTATTTAAATTCAGCTTAATCATTTTGATGTACAGATAGATAGATAGATAGATAGATAAAACTTTATTATGGTCAAAGACCAGCTCAATTCAAATAAATAAATAGATTTTTAGAAAAGAAGAAAATACTTTATTTATTTATTTATAAAATTTGTATGCCATCCAATTACTTGCATCATTAAAGGTTATCTGTCATAAAACCCCACTTGGATTAGTAGATACTTCAACACAATATACTGCTGCTATAGTTCATATC